ATTAGCTTCTTTGAAAGTATCACGGTTCCCACCTGTCTAATTCTAAGGATGTTTATGAGTTGAATAATCCTATTTTTAATATTATATTTTTGGTACTTAGTCCTATTAGTCTCTTATTCGTGCTCATATGACCCATTGACCTACAGCTCTTATCTAACATATGAATAACAGTGTAATTTCAACTTCTCTAAAGTTATCAAATATAAACATAGATTGCTATAACTTTAGTAAGAATTCATGATAATATATATTATGTATCAAGTGCTATTACAAAGATTACAATTAACCACAGCTATAACTATCTGATACTGCATTACTTTTGCATGACTGTTTTATAATGCAATTTATCTTTTCTATTTGGATGTGTACTTAATTGATTTGTTTAACATGTGCCTCTTCTTTATTATTTCATATCTTAGTCTACCCATTTATTCTGTGGGACGATAGAACTTTTGATTTCTGAAACCCCAATAGATATAATTGGTTTAGTGGGAAAAGTGGTAGCCAGGAATGATACTGCCCTAGTTGTAAATAGTCCCAAGCAGAGTATGTCCGGTGAGTCACAGTAGTTTGGTCGTGGTTCGCTCAAAGGTCCTGTCTTTCTCGCGCCAGTCCTTTGGATCTCGCGCGCAGTTTCAGTGGGTTTTCGCACGCTCTACAGAGGACCAATCAGAGAGCAGAATTCCTCAGGAGCGTCCCGTTGCCATGCAGTGGTCCCGAAACCTGTCTTGTCCTGTCCGGCAGCGAGGGTGAGTTCTTATTCATTCAGTTAAAGTAGATATTTATTCACTTTGGGGTATATAATGTGGAGTCCTGTTTATGTTCAGGTTGTTCTTAGATTGGAAGAAATATGTTTGTAGTCAAGATACTTGTGTGTTTTTTGTGCAAAGTTTTGGGGAAGTTAGGAGTTCACTAGAGAAATCAACAGCTGTGAATGGCTCCACGAGTAGATGAGTTTTGCAGCCCGGCTACTGAAAAGTGTATTTTAATGTTAGTCCAAAAATGTGAGAGGCCAGCAGTCAGCAGACAGCTGCAGTTACGGTGGTTACCCGGTTGGAGACACACACGCCTGTTGCTGTGTGACCAACCAATCACACTAGAGGGCACGCCCAATGATTAGCATACGACCAATCATCGCAGTTTGGCAAATGTTCTCTCCTGACTTGCATTGTCCCGGACAGTTTTAATGTGGAGTTGCCAGTTTTATCCCTCAGTTGCAGCATAGTGAACTGCAGATAAAGTGTGTGTTTAGTCGAGAAGATACCAAGATAACTCGCCAGTACTAGAGACTACACTCTCTCTGCTCTTGCGTGGATTTGGATTATATGTACAACATGACATTTGAGGAACTAAGTGGGGATTACTCTCAAGAAAGGTAAATGATATGCCATTTATTCTTTAAGACATCGGTGCATGCATCACCGACCTGCTACGCTGATTTTGCCATCATATTGGTTGTCTGCAGCAGCATTACATGCATTTAATATATTAATGCACGATAAAAGCGACTTCAAATATATTTATTTGTTAACAACTACTTGACATTGTCGTTGAGGCAGACAGGTTAGCTAACTGGTCTTCTGATGAGAACATGTCGCGAGACACTTTGCACTCACTCACTAGCTAACACAACGCTGTTAAAAATAAGTATCACGAAAGTTGACATGACACGACATTGAATATGTCGGTTTAGTTTCCCACACCTGTCAAAACTATATTAACTGTTAAAGTGAAAACACTTTTTACGTGGCGAAACCAACCCGTGCACATCTGTCAGTTTGAGACGACGCCGGGTGGTTAGCTAGCAGTGAAGCTAACTGAATGATAGCCAGGGCATAATGACGTAGGAAAGTGTTAGTGGTATGGTTTAACTAACGATGTGCTACAGTGGTGTTATTTATATTATATTTGTATAGGTTAAGCTACCCAGTTGTCTATAAAGTTCAAATTCAAATAAATCCCACTTTTGCTAAGTGCACCATTGCAGTGTTAAACACATTAATGCATCAACAATTTGAATAAATGTAATATAATCATTTAAAAATATGTGGTGCTTAAAATGACCATTTTGCATAACGCATACTTTTAATTTTGGTACTTAAAGTATTTTATTGCCAATACTTTTGCTTTTACCTAATTACAATTTTGAATGCAAGACTTTTACTTGTAACATGGTATTTTATTTTTTACATTATTACATTACATTTAGCTGATGCTTTTATCCAAAGTGACGTACAATAAGTGCAATAAACCATAAAGATTCAAACTAAGGACAACAAGAACAGTGCTGACATATTCACTTCAAATAAGAAGGATCATTGAAAGTTCTGCTGCTGCATACTCTTTACACTGCAGTATACTTTTACTTGAGTAAATAATCTGAGTACTTCTTCCGCCTCTGACCTGGTCCTATTATTTGTCTGTGTGTTGCAGAATGGATTCGGTGGCGAAAGCTTTGGAAGAGGTCCTCGCCTCTGCCTTACCACAGGGCTGCATCACTGTCGGAGTGTATGAGGCTGCCAAGTCCCTCAATGTGTAAGTACAAGGTTACAATGTTAATCACCCATTGACAGGCACCACAGATCCCTCACTAAAATCTACTGTGCTTATGTACAATAGTACTTATCCTGTGGTTTGTTTGAATCCAAATAGACTAATTGTCTCTTCCTTTGCTCTCCAGGGACCCTGATAATGTGGTTCTGTGCATCCTGGCCACTGATGATGAAGATGTGAAAGATGTGGCCCTGCAGATCCACTTCACCCTCATACAGGCTTTCTGCTGCGAGAACGACATCAACATCCTGAGAGTCAACAACACCCGGCGCCTGGCAGAAATGTTGGGTGGAGGAGGAAAACAGAGCGGGGGGGAACCTATGGACCTGCACTGCGTCCTAGTCACTGTAAGTTTCATTCCACATATCTGAATACATTTTATAATGATTTAAAACAAGGGGTTAAGTCAAGTGTACGACACTCAAAGATGAACTTGCCTGTACTTGTTCTTGTGATAAACAAGTGAATGACTCCTCTCTCATATGACTTCTTAGGAATTTGAGCAGAGTGGAATACCTTTAATATCTACACACACACACACACACATTCGGGCACTGTTTGTTACCGTTGCCATGGACATGTAATAAATGCAAATTGAAAGTAGATTTGCATCACTCAACAGCCAGAAAAACAATGGTTATGTATTGAGAGGCTGGTCAAATAAAACATTCACAAGCCATGGACCCAAAAGTAAACTTTGCACACTGAATTCAGATTATTTATCTTTCTCTTCTTTTATATTTTCAGAGCCCTCATTCGACATCATGGAAGGACCCTGCTCTGACCAAAGTGAACCGGTTCTGCAGGGAGAGCCGCTGCATGGACCAGTGGGTTCCCATCATCAACCTGCCCGAGCGATGAACTTTGAGAATGAAAAACCTGAGGAAGGACTTGTATCTGCACAGTAAGCGTGGTGTGAACCCTGATGGACACATTGCCACCCAGAGATCAAATTCCAAAGCACTGCTGATGGGGAAAGAAGAAAAAAAAGACTCTGGCGTCTATATGGGATGTATTTAAAAGAAGAAAAAAAAGCCGGGGGATGGACTCCCTCTGTGGACTGTTTGGAGCTGCTTCTGTCAGCCTTGAAGACGAGACGGAGGAAGCACTTGTGTCGTCATGAAGTGGACGTTTCAAAAAGCACGGACACTTCCTGTACTCGAGGATCCTATCATGTCTGTGTGGTGAAGCCTCTGATCCGAGTCAGAGAGCGGAGGGTCTGTGGAGTGGACGAGGCCTCTCTGCAGAAACAAAGCACTTGTTGAAACACTGGACCTTTTTATGCAATTTCACTTATTTCATTCAAATAGTAAATGTTGACGTTGCTATTGTCCTATTTATAAAAAAAATAAAAATAAAAAAAAGGGAAGGGCTCCACATCCAGTGAAGACATTGTGTGTACTTCCTATGCCAGCTGTTTTATTGGCACAAGTACAAATAATTATTTTGTTACAATATAAGTTATTTCTAATGATATTTAAATGTATTTATGTTCCTTTTTTTTACTTTGCAAAATCTGAATACATATGTATTGCTGTCAATAAAAAAGTATTTCCTTTTTGGAATCCAGAACTGTTCTCCTTTTTTTTTTTTCATTTCTGGAAATGTTAGGAAACGCCCTGCTGTTGTGGCCTTTGACGGCTGTAAAGAGGAGTCACGTGCGGATCAGAGGGGTCACGCTGGCCTCTGTGGCCCCGGTGCCATCTCTGAGCTGATGAGAACAATAATCCTCTGCGCTCTCTGCACGTGCTTCTGCTCGCTCAGCAGGAACTCGCTCACTCATCTACACAGGTTCCCTTTTCACAGATCCTCACTGATTTGTTGGACAGTTCAGCGTGCGTTTCACCAGCTGACTTCCTAAAAAAAGAGCATGTGACATCAGCTGCACACAAAGAAAGACACACAATACCTGTATTCCACATATAGTACTCAGATCTTGTACACAAGTAAAAGTAGAAGTAGCAGAGTGTAGGAATAGACAAGTACAATACAAGTAAAAGACCTGCAATCAAGTACAAAAGTATTATCAAAATATAGTGAAAGTAGCGACAGTAAAAGTAGTCGTTGTGCAGATTGGTCCATTTCAGAATAATATATATGATATGTTTTATAATGATTGATCATGAAAGTGATCTCAAAGCTGGTAAAGGTGCAGCTAGTTTGAATGACTTTGTATACTGCAGGGTAGCTTGTGGATTTACTCCAGGTGGAACTAAAGTCTGATTTAACACTTGATTATATTTACCATCACTTATTTCGGGGAGGCGTGTGGCGCAGTGGATAGAGCCTTGGTGTTGGGATCAGGGGGTCAAGGTTCAAACCCCACTGCAGTCAGCATGTCTTGTGTCCCTGAGACACTTCACCCCAAATTGCTCCTGTGGGGATTGCTCACAGTATTGTGTATGTAAGTCGCTTTGGATAAAAGCGTCTAACAAGTAACATGTAATGTAATGTAATCATTAATCCACATCTGTGAAGATATAAAATACATGTAGTGGAGTAAAACTACAAAGTAACATAAAATGCAAAAAGTATCTAACAAAGTACCCTCCTTGAGTAAATGCACTCTTGAGTCTTGACACCACTGTATAGCAGTGCTCTAAATATTAATAATATCACTTTTTAATTGAGGCAGCGTGGTCCCATCAGTGTTTCTGATGGCTGAATCTGCCCCCAGGATCAGAATGTGTGTGTGGCTGACTGCAGAGCACATGACTTGGAAAATTGTTCGTTAAGGAGGCACTGGCATGCAATGTGTTGTGCAAGCCGGTCTGAACTGCTTCACCCCCCACGCTCCCTTTTCTTATCCAACTGTGTCTCATACACACGCGCAGGTGATCTCCCAGGAGCAGGGTGTGATGATGTCACAGGCTCATCATGTAACGCAGGCAATCCCCTCAGGAAGTGCCGAGTCATGGTCACGAGAAGAGGCTGGCCTTCAGTTACACAACCAGAGCTGAGACATCATGGAAGAGAGGTCATGTGACAATATGTGATCATGATAAATCAGAGACATGCAGGCAAAGGTGGGTCAAGTATTTAGATATCATACTTAAGTTAAAAGTAGTAACACATAAGTGTAGAAATACTCAAGTTAAAGTTGTGAATTTAAAATGTTATGTGAAAGTAATATGTACAAAAGCATTAGCAACCACATGCACAAAAAGTCCCAAGAGTAAAAGTTCTCATTCTGCACAACAGCCTATTTTAGAATATTATGTTATATTTAATGGTGCAATGTAGCTAAATAACTTAATGGTATGACATAACTTAAGTACAAGTTTGAGGTATTTGTACTTCAATTGAGTATTTCCTTTTCCTGCTGTTCTATACTTCTACTCCTCTACAAATCAGAGGCCCTCTTTACTCCACTGCATTGATTTCAGATTAATAACAAAATATTATGAAGTCATGTATTATTATGGGTAGTCTCACTACTCTGTTACAGTAAAAGTCCTGCATTCAAAATGTTACTCAAGTAAAAGTACGAAGGTATTAGTATACTTAAAGTAGTCATTGTGCAGATTGTTCCATTTCAGAATAATATGATATGATAATGATTGATCATTCAAGTGTTCTCAAAGCTGGTAAAGGTGCAGCTAGTTTGAATGACTTTGTATACTGCAGGGTAGCTTGTGAATTTACTCCAGGTGGAACTAAAGTCTGATTCAACACTTGATTATATTTCACATCATTCATCCAAATCTGTGAAATGTATTTAAAAATGTAGTGGAGTAAAAGTACACCATTTACCTCTGAATTGTATTGAAGTAGAAGTACAAAGAAGCATAATTTTATGCAAATACTCAAGTAAAGTGCAAGTCTCTCAAAATGTTACAAAATGTTACAAGTATAGTACTTGTGTGAATTTACTTAGTTACTTTCCATCACTGCTTAAATGTCGGTTCTATAGAGAGCCGCAGTGACGCGTCCTTAAACCCGGAAGTAAACTTCTTCCGGTTCCTTCGTCTAAAACGCAATGCAATTTCTCCATAGGATTTTGGAAAATAGCTCGAAATAAGGTCTGTGGTTGACACACATTTAAGAGAGGGATCACGTTTTGTTCAGCCGGATAATCTCCACATGTCAACCCTACTTTTATAATTTTTGAATCATAAATCTAGTCGCCAAAAGCGAAATGCTAACGTTATGCTATAAACGAACTACAAGCCAGTACAGCAGCAGGGTCGCACGACTTCAACGTCACGCCAACTTAAGATCGTTTCAACTGACTTGCACTGAAACTGCACTTTGAAAACTTTAAATATATTAACATTTTAAACTGTATACCCCGGTTATCTAGGCCCGTTTTGTTTAATGTATACCACGTTTATCTAGGCCCTTTTTGTTTTATGTATACATGTCACACTGTGGGAAACGATATTTCTGGATGTATAACACATGTAGAATTTTTGACAATAAAGCTGAATTTGACTTTCGCCTGCTTGCATATTTTAACAAAGCTTTTCATTTTAGCCACACTGAATTTAACTAGAAGTCATGGCTGTGTT